TGTTACGTATCTTTATTTTATTTAATATTAAACGTTATGTAACCATTCTGAGAAATCCTATCAGTTTGACTTATACATATACGATCGACGATTCTTTTTGGATCGCAGTTGGATCGCGTTATCGTTCGCTTCGTGACTGTTAACTGAACATCGACGAAAGATCTCAATGAAACTTGTTTAAATATTTTGTCGGACCAGTATCAACCAGAAATCGATTTAACAATATCATTTCTTAAGTCAACGTTTCCTTGAACCAGTAAGCTTATAACAAAAATTATCATAAACACATCAACAGACTCCAGATTTCACGGATTTATAAGAAAACTGAATATACAAAAAATACAAACACTGCACTTAATGTAGAAAAATATAAGAAATGTCAAAAGCAGAGTGGATAATGCAATATTTATAGATTAGTGTTAAAAAGCAGTTGATACGGTTTAGTGCTAAAAACACGTGTATGTTGAAAAGCAATTTATTGAACGGTAAATTATGTGAAATGGAAAGTGTCTATTAAAAATATAACAGGATAAATTCGTTTCTACTGAAAAGGTGGAATCGTTTCAAAGAATTATAGAAAATAATCGAATTTCGAGTCGACGATACAACTTCGAAAAAGACCGATTTGACATTAATATTGTAGGAGAGCATTGTCATCGTTTCTAACCACGGCGGACGTTTCTCTGAACTCTGCTGAATCAACAATAAGAACGTAATCGAAGAAAAAATATTGTCATTCGCCGAGCCACACGGCAGAAGAAGAAATTGCATGTATCGATCTTCCCATTCGAAATGGTCACAAAATAAGCTTACAAAGCATTTTTATTTACACGTAGATTAAAATTAAAAATCAGTTTAAAGATAAATTTTATAGTGGTGCACTTCTTAAATATTTTGTATCGAGTTTGAGAATGTGCGAGATTTGACGTCAGAGAAAAATTAGAAATCGGTTATCGTGGTTCACGAAGCCCCGTAACCATTGGTTTCTTGGCGATCGGTGATCGTTAGAAATGGAAAGCAGCTGGATTTCCACTTGTCACGACAGGGACAGGGGATCTGTTCCGAATTTCACCGCGCTCTATAGGACGTATCCTCGATTTCTCGTCAACCTGCATCACTAATAATCCTATAAGTCATAAACTTCGTTACATAATGAAATGCTCAACCCTAAACTCAAGACTTATTTCAAAATTGTCTCATGAAAAAATTTGAAGATCACTTAGGCTTCACAAATATCAAATAAAGCAATTCATTCACAAAACTGTATTGCCTGTTCATTCTCTCTTAGCTTCATCATCTTTTTGATGTTTCTCTTAAATTAACTTCAAGTCTTTTCCGCTTGACATTAACATTCTATGCAATTTGGAAATTCTTCTATGAGAAATATAAAGAAAACAAAATTTATATCGTCATATTGTTAAAATTATGACTATTATTGAAGCTACTACCAAACTGAATTACCAGTATCTACAATAAAATGTAGTAAAACGTAGAAAATATAAATACAATATAACAGTATACAGAAACTATTGGTAGGTTTAGTGTCAATTTGTTAAAATATTCAATGAGTTCATACTAGACTCTGCTTGCACGCAGTTAGATACCTAGCTAGCGTTTTAAGAACAAAATTTCCGGAAATCTAGATAAGCGTTTAGTCACGCGGGAGTATTAGATAAGTGATTTTTCAATCTGACAGCTAGATAAATAATTTATTTACCGTTCGATGCGAAATTATCGGACTGGGGAAGTCTTGCGGACTTCTCATTGCTCAAGAATCATAAGAGTCTCTTCATCCGACGCCAGACGATTACCTCGAACTTGGAAAATCGATTTCCTTGCACTTGACATTATTTTTCATTCCCAAGATAACGTTACCATCTTTATTTATAAATGATCAATACAACTTTTAATATTAATATTATATAATAATATTTTATATGAAATCCTTAAATAAAAACAATTACGAATTCAAATTTTAATTAATATGTTATTAAGTATTACATTGATAATAAATCGTGGGAAATTTTAAAAATTTTGCGTGGCTATTAACAAAGTAAATGGATCATTTTTATGGGAATGGGAAAATCATTTTTACTAAAAATTGATCGCTTCAAATGTTCAATATAACATTTTATCACATTTGATAGAGGTCTTACGACTCATGCGACATTAAGTATACGTAACTGCTTGATATTCATTATTTCACCTAATTCATTCAAATGGAAACTGAAGTATTCATAATATAATTGGCATTTGATACTCTCGTTTCAACAAAGCAAATGCAACGGGTCTATATGTATTCGTTCTATTGAAATTCGCAAGAAACTCGTCGGCCATCAACCTTTCGTGCTCGCTTAGCTCCACCTGCTCCACTCGATTATTACCTGTCGCGGGGATCCTCGAATAGACGCCACGTGACTTTATACAGTACCGCGAGGCGTAAAACGAGTCGGTGAGGTCGATGCGGTCGCGAACATAAATCACTCGTGTCGAATTTATTCGCGCGCTTAAGCGCGAACCGGCTCCGCTAAACGCGTACGCAAACCGCAAACTAACTCGCAGTTAAACGGCCGAAAACCTGTTCCGCACGCGTGTCGCACCTGTTTCCCCCGTTACGGAACCTGTCCCCTTCGTACCACGAATTTGTCTGCTTCCCGATTCTCTTCAGTCACGTTGATCTCCTTTCTGATTTATTGTTCGAGGCCTGTTAGTTGACTAAAATTCTTTGCAATTTCTCTTCATTAGACTGTGGAGTTCATTGAATATGCAGAAAATTGTAACGCTGCATGTGACGCCTGAAAACAGACACAATAAGTATTAAAAGTGAAATACATATTGCAATATCTATCTGAATACTAAACCCATCATCCATCAGTCAAATCATCGGTTTTAATAAAAATAAATTATCTCCGGATCCATACCCAACACCAAATGTAAAAAATATAAATTTTGTACATTGGTGTACAAAAACTGTCGCTAGGTTTAGTGTTAATTGACTACCCTAAATGGCTTACTTTGCATAAAAATTTACAGTCTACTCATCACTATCAGTTCTCATTCTTTTCTACTCTACGTCAATGTGTCAAGTCCTGAGACGAGACTCCTCGATCAACTTTTTGAGTAGTTTGTCTAACAAACTTGTATTATGAAACTGATGAATGGCTAATGAGAAGCAAATTTGCTTAGGACCTAAGCCTTAGATCCTCCAGGTTTTGTTATCTTGACCCTGTCTCGAAATCATCAAGGCTAATGAGCTCAACTTCGTCGTAGACATTTTTGATGATCGATCCGAGATACTAGAAGGAAATTGCATCAGTCTCTACTCTCTTCTAAAACCTAAAACATTAATATCATTAAATGGCGTCTGCTTTTTTCTGTTTCTATTATCTAATATTTTTCTTTGTTCATTTCGTTTCAAACATGTTCTGTTTGGATATACATTATATTAGGGTACGTACTCTACATTGCTTGTTTTTATTACAATTAATACTTTGACAAAGGAGAACTCTCCTTTCGACGATGATCTTAAGGTCGAACCAACGATAACGGGGCGAGATGTTTTGTCTTCCTGCTGGGGCCTCGATAATCTGGATCGACATAGTGCGACACTGTCAATACCGCTTAATCTAGTTTCTTGTCGGATGAAAAAGAACGCCCGGACGGAGATAAAGCTGAGCGAACAAGATCACGTACTGTTTGCGACATTTTTTCCATCGAATGCATGCATGTGCATCACTACGGAATTTCTACCACTATCGCGATCCTACCCTGCACCTGCATCAATAGTTCGACGATTATAATTATCGCTGTTCAAACAAATAAGTGCACTCAATTAATTTGTCAAGATCGTTAACGTAATATCGTGTGTCAGGTTCCATATGAAACTTCGTTTCCTTTTCTGGATTTACATTTCCCAGTTGAGAAGGATATATCATGTTTCTTCTCATTATTTACAATCAATAGACTGCGAATTTTTATGGAAAATAAAAATTGTAGGGTAGCAATTTAAGAAATGGTATGTTTCTTTAATCCTTTAAACATCATGCTGTGCATTTTGCTGTCGATGCTTTATGCACTTCTGCCGACTATGTTTTACATTTTTTTAGGCATTCAATTTTGCTATAAATGAATAGAATCCACAGTCTAGTAATCAAATTAAACGTGGGATAACTCGATTGGAAATAATTTGTTAAATTCAGCTGCACAGTTGTTCTTGAAAAGAACTGGAAATTGAGAGAGATTGTTCAGTGAGTAAAATAACGATGTTTATCGGTTCGAATCGTCAGCCTATTTTCGTAACGGTATCGTTCTAGGAAGCCGTGCTCCAGTGGCAGGCCTCCAGATCGAGACGTCGAGTAAGTAAATAAGGACGACTGCGGTTCTGAGACGCTGATAAGTGTCATTGTCCCAACTGCGAGCCGGTCGGTTATAATACTTTGCGGTCGGTTCTATCAGCTTCCGGAATTGCGCGGACGCCACAAGCGCCGCGGATGAATTTTCTGCGACACGATCGTGTCACGTGGCGTTACAATTAAAAAATTTACAAACAATAAGTCGTTATCGAAGACGAAGTTATATCACGTGTTCCTAACACTTCTAAACGTCGTTCTAATAATAAATCTGTGCAGAGGTACTCGTTATGGAAAGAAATAATAATGAGACCTTCTCAGAATTAAATGAATTATTCGATATGACTTTTCAGATATTAATGTAAATTAAGTAAATCTTATTGGGTTGGTAAATAAGTTCGAAAGGTTTTGCCGTGACACAGTTTCGTTCCGATTTGCATTTGCAGACGTTTGACGACCGCGGAATAATGAAGTTAATAGAAGGATGGGAAAAGATCATCAATAAAAATGGTCAATATATTGAGTTTCAATCTGCTCTACAAAACTAAACCAATCATTTACAATATCAATATATAATGCTCCCTACTTTCATATAATCTAAAATTATAATATAATAATATTAATATACAATGTTCTTTAATTTGATTTCAGTTACTCTGAAGAGTGGCCTCGACCAGGAACACGAGAAGGAAGCGCAAGTTGATGCTGCATCATCTCCATCGAGCGTATGTAGAAAATTTAAACAATTCTCTTTGAAACCTGATTTTCTTACGTAAAACATTTTTTCTTACTATGTGTTCACTCATTGTTCAGTATTATCTTTTGCCCTATGTCAATTTTGAAAAATTTACGAAAAATTATCTCTTGTATAACAAACAGACAAGATAAAAATTAAGTTTTCATTTATAGGCCGAGTTACCGGAAAGCGCGTATCCCTGTCCAGCGTGCCCGACAGTTTTGCCGAGTTCCCGGGAACTGACTAACCACCTCCGCAACCACCATTCGCCACGCAGCACCGACTGCAGCGGTGAGGATGAGTATTCCTGCAGGGTATGCAACAAGGTGCTCAGCTCAGCAAGTTCCTTGGACAGGCACATGCTGGTGCACTCCGGAGAGCGTCCGTTCAAGTGCAAGTATTGCGACATGGCGTTCACCACCAACGGGAACATGAACAGGCACCTGCGAACGGCGCATTTGGGCGCGTCGCCTCACAGCTGCACGGACTCCGAGGGCAGTAGCGACTCCGAGAGGCCGGCGAAGAGGCGACACATAGAAGAGTACAACAACAACGAGGTCACCAAGAGGAACTCGCCGAACTTCATGGGTAGACGCGAGGGAGGATCACCGACCTTGTCGAGCGGCCAGAAAAGTTATCCAAACGACAACGCGGGCCAAAAGAGGCACAAGACGTTGCTGAACAACTCGAGGATCGAGACGAAATCGAGGCCTGAGGACTTCCTGATCGCTTACGATTGCCCCGTCTGCGGCAGATCGGATTTCGCGACCAGCGCCCTGCTGGAGTCGCACCTGGAACGAAGCCATCCAGACTTCCCCCCGAAGTGCGAACCGTGCAATCTGTCTTTCAAGAGTCACAGAGTACTGAATTTGCACCGGTTTATGTCCCATTTCTCGGAGCACGCGATAGCGAATTCCACGAGAAACTCGAGAAACTCAGTGGTAGGCTTTAAAGATCTGACGTTCGTTGACTTCTCATCCGGAAAGTTCCCAACGATAGCCAGGGCAGTCTGCGAACAGTCGTTGCACCGGCCGGCCTCGGGCGAGGTCGCAAAATTCCAGTGCTCCAAGTGTCTGTACGCGTTCCCATGCAGATCCGCGTTGAACGACCACGAGACCGACTGTGGCACGGCCAACTCTCAGATGAAGACGAGCGACGACAACCAAAGTAGAAGAGACGACTTCTTCGCCGGTTTGGATCTGCAGAACAAGGCCAAACAAGGAAAGGATTTCGCCGATATTCAGAGCATGATATCAGTCACGTCCGGACCTATCCTGCAGAATTTCCCGCGATCGGACGCCAGCACACCTGAAAGCAATATGAAATTCAATCCCAGTCTCAGCTCGTCCGGCTCTTCAGGAACTTACTCGTCGGAATGTCACGAAGAGGAGGCGCAAGATGCGTTCGCAGCTGAATTTAGGAGAATGAAATTGAAGGGCGAGTTTCCGTGCAGACTCTGCTCTGCTATATTTCCTAATCTGAGAGCTCTGAAAGGGCATAACAGGGCGCACATGGGTGTCGCACCAGGCATGCCGTATCCTTGTAATATGTGTCCGTACACCAGTGCCGATAAAGCCACTCTGGTCAGGCATCTGAGGTCGCATAACGGAGATAGGCCATACGAATGTTCTCTGTGTAACTATGCCTTCACTACCAAAGCCAACTGCGAGCGCCATGTCAGAAATCGTCACGGGAAATTGACCAGGGAGGATATCAAGAGCGTCCTCATTTATCACCCGAACGAAGACTCGACGAACGAAAGCGTCGAACGAAGCTCGCCGAGAGTACCGAAAGACGACGTCAGGAAGAGTCTCATCTATCCCGCGGAGCGAGACGAGCCCCAGCATCCGGCGCAGATGCACTATCCGTCGGTGCCGATGGAGGCCAGGGGTGAAATCCGGATAATCGAAGAGGCGAAACTGCACAACTCAGCGATCCCGATGCACAATCACCAGTTCGAGAAGGGCGACGCGTTCCCGAGGCCGGGGCAGCCGATCGAGCTGACGCAACGAATTCGTGAAGATGACGTTATGAAACCCGGCTGTCAGGACACGAAGTCGGATTACTTGAAGCTGGACGACGACTTGGAGTCGAGGTCGTCGGAGGGCAGCGTCTCTCTAGTCAGTGATACCAAATCAGAATCACACCAAAGAATGCATGCTAGTCCGATGAACCTGAAGAAGAGTCGGAACATGTCCGAAAGCGCCGGGGAGGACGGTCCATTAGATCTGTCAATGGACGTACTCGATCTCAGCAAGAAACGGAAGAAGGAGGAAAGTGACTTCGCCGCTCAGGATCAATTCGACCAGAGCCAAAAAGATCTGTACAATGCAAGCCAACTGCTATTGACCGAGGCACTCCTGAAAGCTGGCCAGAGCACCTCGCAGTCACAGCTGCATGTCCTGTACGCCAACACTCTTTATAGAAACTTCGAACGAATGGGGCCGTTCCAGCCCACCGTCGGTGCTGGAATTTTACCATCGTACATGTTCAACCCTAACGTATTCGGCCAGGACTACTCGATGAAGGAAAGGCTGCAGAAGGAGTTGGTAAGAGGATTACAGCTAACCAGCGGTGGTACATTGGTTGAACCTATAATTAACTGCAAGCCTCTTACGTCTGGTTTCGATGCGTTTCCCCAAACAAGAGATATCAACGCGCAGTCCGCAAACGAGCAAGGAAATTACGCGAAACTGATGGCCTCTAAATTGCAGAACAAAGGGATGCCGAGCCGCGAGAAGACGGGCAGCTTGTCATCCACGAATTCTGTCAGGATGGTCATCAAAAACGGAGTCCTGATGCCGAAGCAAAAACAGAGACGGTACAGAACTGAGAGACCGTTCTCATGCGAACACTGCTCAGCAAAATTCACCCTCAGAAGTAACATGGAGCGGCATATAAAGCAGCAGCATCCGCAGTACTGGACCCAGAAGCCCAGAGGAGGCCACTCGACGAGAGGAAGACCACCATCGAGTCACCCGACGTTACTGCAGAACCTCGGACAGCCTCCGTCTCAAGTAACCCAATCATACAGTAGCATTCTGCCAAAGATCGAACAGTCATCGAACGCGGAATATCCAAAGCATCCGATTTCGGATCAAGTCAAATACGCCATCCTTGCTCAGCAGTTGAAGAGTAACAAAGTTGAGGAGAATGATTCCGAAGAAGAACTAGTAATAGATGAAGACATGCATGATAAAGATAACCAGGAATCTCAGGAACAGAAAGAGAAGAGTTTGTTGCGGGGACAACTGGAAGACGCGGACGTTACTAACGAGTCTGCGGCGAGGGAAGATGAAACGGAGAGCCAGAAAGACATCTCGGAAAATATTACTACGGAATCTGTGAAGAACGACGATGCTGAGAACGAGAAGGCGTCTGACGGTGAAAAATCAAGAGAGAAGAGTCCCAACAGGGTTTTCAACTCTGAGACAGTCGAGGTGAAACAAGAGAAAGTCGAGGACGGAGCCGACCTGGCGAGTGTGTCGGAACTGCTGGACAACGCGTCACAGCAGTATCAACAGTTTCAGCCGCAGTACCTGAGCGACGAGGACGGCCTGGTAGCGTCGAACAGCGATTGCAACAATTCAGGCAGCGATGAAAAATCAGACTCGGTGAATTCATTAAACTCGGTGAACGACTCATCGAAGAAAAAGAAGAAAAAAAAGAAGAAGTCTGCATACTCGATGGCGCCAAATCGTGTCATCTGTCCATATTGCGAGAGGCCGTTCCCCTGGACTTCGTCCCTCAGGCGTCACATCCTCACACACACTGGCCAGAAACCGTACCAGTGCGTTCACTGCTCCCTGTTGTTCACCACCAAATCGAACTGCGATCGTCATCTACTGAGGAAGCACAAGGCAAATCCGAACAAAATGCGCAGAGCGAGGACCGAGAGTTCGTCACCGGATTCTCAAGTAGTCGTCAACAACAGCTCATTCTCGATGAGAAACGTCCCCGAGAGGCCCTATAAGTGCAACCAATGTCCGAGCTCAACTTTCTCGACGTTGGGCAACCTGAAAAAACATCGTAATACGAAACACGCGAGGAAATCGCGCTCAGACACTCCTTCCAGCGAGCCTCACAATAGTCCCCCGGGGTGCTCGAAACAAAACAACGAACAAAGCGACTATGACAGCCAGTCATCGAGCGCGTCCGAGGGTTTGGAGACCTCGTCGTTGCCGGGAACTTCGAAGTCGAGCATGAATCGAGGTAATAACGACATGCCTAAATCGAGGAAAACCTCGCCGAGATCATCACCAGGGCCCGGCGAAGCGGCCTTCAAATGCTATTTGTGCGATTGCGGCTTCGCCGATAGGCAGGGCTGCGTAGAACACATCAGGATCAGCCACGAAGCGTCTTACGAGATGCTGGAGGCGAAAGGAGCATTGGACATGGCCCTCGACGGACAGGACCAGTTGCAGCCACGACCGTCGCGTCAGCAGCATGCCAGTGACATTGAAGAGAAGAGAGGCCGCTTCCCAGACTACCGCAACAGAAAGGTGTGAATCTTAAGTAGGTACATATAAGGTACGCCGGGGGGAAGATGCCTAGGACTTTCCAATAAATAGGTAGAAGTTGTTTTTTATATCATACACTGTGAAGAAAATGTAGTCGTACTACTAGAATACTTAAAAAAAAATCGAATTATCTTCGAATACTACGTAGCATCTTACTTTCATATATCAGCATACACACATATTGCAAGTCAAATTCTACTAATCATTCGTACACAAACAAGAAAAATACATTCTTTCTAAGTAGAGTTCTCAAGCTGTCGCAGATAACTCTTCCCTTATTCAAAATATGAAATGACAAAAACGATTACTATCCACGTAGTAGTATAAACTTTTTCAAACATGCAATATTTTGTATGTTAAAATAAATCCTATTTCTGTTAGCAAGCGATAGATATCATGGTATTATTGAATGAATTCGTGATACGTTTTTAGTGATTCAGCATCTCCCCCGACGTGGCATCTTCTCCCAACTTACCTTACACGCGTTGCAATCGAATGTTAAGAAAATTAGCCGTGTATCCTCGAGTCCTTCATGTTTGTTATATCAATCGAGTCTTATTTTGTAACAGATTCGTGATTAAAAACAACGCGCATCCGGACAGCGATTTAAAACTGCCACACGTACATTTCCAGGTGGTATGCGCATTCTGCATAAGGCGGTTCTGGTCCGCGGAGGACCTGCGTCGTCATATGAGGACCCACACCGGTGAGCGGCCCTTCGCCTGCGACATCTGCTACCGAAGGTTCACCCTGAAACACAGCATGCTGCGGCACAGGAAGAAGCACGAGTCCATCGACTCGACGATGTACGTCGGGACCAGCGGCGATGAGGACAATTCACCGACCCAACCGCCGACGACGCTGCGTAGTCAGCAACAACCACCGACTTCAGTGGGCACCGGAAGCTCTCTTACGCAGGACAGAATCTCTTTGCCGATCGTTGCCTCAGTGGCGACCGGTGATGCGGCGCCAAATGAATTGATTCAGTTCAATCCGTACGAGAGTCTGACTTCGCTTGCACGTAATCTAGCCAGGATCCCACAGCCGCCAGACGTGCTCGAAAACCAAGACAACGATTTGATCTCCAATATGCTCGGTATAGAGGATAAGGACTTGATAGAACAAGCCTTACAGGCGTCCGCCGATGATGCCGCCAAATTGCTGGGAGTAAAACACAGTCAAGAGTGACGTTGAATAACATAAATTAATAATAAAATAATCATGTAAAAATATCATCTGGAGAAAATATACTTCAAATTAGAGAAGAAGAAAATGAAACCATGATTACCTCCCTCCAATACCAGCTCTAAAATATCAATTTTCTTCATCTCTCAGCAGAGAAGAATCTTCAGATGATATTTTTCAATTACTATAAATATTTAAGATCTTCACGTGAGGAACGTAAAGTAAAATTTAACAGCAATATCCTTTACGTTTACTGTTCTTTAACGTTTTTTTAATTAGACATACATATTTATGTGATAAAAATTATTTCTTCTATAATAGATTAAGAAATTGCAAGCAGTGTGCGTGCAATTAGTAAAAATCGCGTAATTATTCCGTAGCTTTAATTCGTATAACGTCTGCTTATGTTTTGCACTTATGAATGAATGCAATTACTAAAAATCTCATCAAGCTCTGGAGCAAGTAAAGAGTGGAACACGTACACATCGTTATTATGACACTGTATCGCAGTCACAAATTATGTACATGACTTTATATCTAAGTTTTTTCCCCTTGAATGACAAATAAACGTGTGATAGACAAGTAAATATAATAATGTTATATACAGAATTCCCAATATAGATGCGTTTCAATAAGGCACTTATATCAGGCGTATGCGTAGCTATCGATTCTGGGAACGTATCATATTATATTCAGTCAATCCGCATTTACTAGTAATGTTCTACGGCTGAAAAATGTTACACATAATGTTATGTACGTACATAATTCACAACTGCGATACAGTGTCTTAACATTCATACCTATGCATTCCTCCCTGGAACATCCTCGAGAGCTTGATAAGATTTTTACTAATTGCATTCATTGATAAATTCAAAACATACATTAGATGAATTTAAGCTAAGGAACAATTATTATTCCGCACGTGTAAATGATTATGTTGTATCCTTGTTTACAAACTTTACCTATTAGTAAAAATATAGTATTCAAAAAATAAAGAACGAGCTTAATTATTCAGAACCTCTAAAGTATAAAATAAAAAGCCAAAAACCCATTCCACAATTTTATTTCCCGTTTAATGTTATAATATTTCACTAATAGTAACGTCCAGTAAATGATATCAATTAAAGTAATAAATTATTAGGAGCAACCAAGCATATATCGCTATGTACATATAAATATTACATTTCACTAATCTGCGTCCTACCATAAAACGCTATCGACAAAATAGCGTCGAATGCCGATATAAGAAAGACTCACTTGCATTTACCTTTATATTTTCCTTTCCTTTCGAACTTGTACAATAATCATTGCACTTTCGCTTTCCAATAAGCATTGCACTTTCGCTTAACTGTACGAGTTAACTTGCACGGTCCCATTCTCCGTTTCATTCAATCTTTGCCTACGAAACACTCTTTAGTCGCTCTGTCACGATTATATAAACGTATGTGCGTTTAACAAGAGACACTTAACTATTAGATCGATCAAACAACACCGACATAGCTCGTATGGAGCTTTCTATTAAAAGATTGTAATCATAACCGTTCAAAGTAGCAACGCGTACTTCCTTAGTTCGATGCCCTTAATTAAAACATATGCGAATCTTATGTTCCTCTTAATCACTCTGTTAATCAAAAACAACCGCGTGGAAGATTCGTTTTGGTCATATATCTTTTCTTTCGTATGGAAATCGTCAATGTATATTTCTGCTTCGGAAGAATAGCGACGCAAAGACATGACATCTCTTTGTACAAATAATGAAAACATTTGAAACCTAGATCTCTGGTGCCAGTATCGGCTTTGTTCCCTATGCCCTACAAGTCTATTGTTAAATCACGAGTTTGTTTATTTGATCCCTCGAAAAATTATATTTTTACAGTTGCCTCATTCTCCTTCCGAAGCGGTAATACAACTATCCATACACGTACGTACATAGATACCAATTATGTAAATACACTCGAATACAACACGCTGCCCGCCCCTTTGCCAACCATTTCATGATCTACCATGAACGATCATCTATTGATCGAATCCATCGAACGCGGTAAAAAATCTCCGCCCACAACACGTTACAAACGATCTTAAATAAATCATCTTAAATGTTTAACGTTTAATGTATTCGTAATGGAGAAAAACATGGTTTGCATGCATATACGTATATATCGTTAGAATATGTATGATACACATTAGATCGCTGGGAAAACTCTGATCCTTGGGTTAAGAACTAGGAGCAATGAACAAGCGGAGAGAACATGGAAGCGGTTACGAAAATACTACTACACATATGTACATGTATTGCGATGCTGTTTTGACTCAACGATAAAAGCGATTTAACGACGTGGCATTTATTAGAGATCCATCGCGCGAAAAAATTTCCTCTCCATCGGAGAATATCTAACAAAAACGAAATCTTTGCCGATTCGATAAACTTATTACATTCTTACTCGTTTGTTACTCATTTTTTTGCTTTTTCTATTTTCGTATAAACAAATCAATGGCGCACTGTTTTTTAGGCATTCTTCACATACAGATATAACATCCATTCTATAATGCACTCGTCAAATAAATTTAACGGAGACTGAATATTAGTAGGAGTATTAGGTCGCTGGATCACCATCCGGCCCCGAAATCATGCTACAGCATGTCATTGAACTCTAATCCGGGATCCGGTTGAGCACTGTCGCTCGTCTCGAAGTCGAAGGCCTCCAAGTCCTTCATCTCGTTCTCGATTTTAACCACGTTGGGGTTCATCTCCACCGGGACGTTGCCGCATACTTGGTTCGCCGTAATCAACGTATCCCCCTCTGTTTTTATGTCCTGCTTAATCATGAATGCCTGCTTCTTCGGCTTGGTCTCCCGTTTAGTGTCCGTCCTCTCTCTCTCGTACATGAACGTCTTCCGTTTCCTTCTCATCGGTTTGCACACTTTCTTATACAGCACGTTCATCTCCTTTATTCTACTGGTCGGTATTGTCCAGTCCATTTCCTTGGATGTTGTTTCGGAGTTACGTGTCGGGTCCATTGTACTTTCGTATTCAGGGATCTCCATCCCTAATTTTTTCATCACGTTTATCATTATCTCGTCAACCTTGCCGTTGATTATTAAGTCCGCCTTTTTGTCCTGAAATATATTTTTCAATCGCGATATAAACGTGCTAACATCGTTCGTGATCTACGCAATCTAATTAGTGTGCAAAGATTCAGAGTCTTACATGTTTTGTAGGCTGCAGATTGCATATAACGAGTCGACCTCCGTACTTTTTAGTATACAGTGGTAAATTACCACTCGGTATGATCTGGAGCGTTGTCCCAAGACATATACTTAAATCTGCGATACTGTAAATATATATTTTTCATACAGTACTTTCGATGATAATGAAAACATCAAACGAAATAATAATCAACTGAAACCTGAGATATCAATATTGTTTTCCGAATCTTTTTAATATGTACATCAACAACTGTTAGGTGCTTCTTCTTTTCATCTGTACGCAAAAAATACCAAATTTTCTAAATTAAAATCTATTTTGTAAAGTACAACTCTATATCTCTAAAGACATTTTTGTACATTCTTAAACAATTCGGTGCTCTCTAGATCATCACTTTACCTACGCATTACGATGCAAAAAATATTCTTATTCGTCACTTATTTTAACTTATTATTATTATTTAGGAAGTTACTTGATTTACCTAGAGTGTAGATCGGATAACGTCAAGTCGCTGTCTGGCAAGTTGTGCTCCCAGTCGAGAATGGTATCGTGCATGCGTCCACGACATGGACGACCACCTATCTGCTCTGATCTACATACCGTCTCAAGGCATTTCTTTCCCACGCTTTTAGTAGCAAAGTTTCGAATAAATTGCCTAAACGAACATGTTTTGCAATGATTTTTACATTTCTAATTGACCAGTGAAATTCTTTATAAGCAGGGTACTCACTTTCCACACTTGTCACATTGTTCCGTGAACATGTTACCATGCAATTCTGCTAGGTGCTGTCTCTGCACACCGGATCGAAGATGCAAACCATCGATATTCTGACTTATGATAAATTTAACTTTCTCTGAGAAAAATGAGATATCAATAGAATTTTTTTTTTCAAATTTTTAATATAATTTTCTGCCACAACTATACTCACTGGCATCTATCAACTTTTTTAATGCCATGTGTGTCTTTGTGGGAATTGCTTCGTCAAAGGTAATGTTCATTGCTGGTTTCAGACCTTTTTGTTCTAATGTCCATACTCCATTTGT